ATCTCTAGGGGTGTCGCGTACGTGGCTGTTGTCATTTACAAGCAAGAGTGGGTTATATGTGTACTCGAATACAGAGCACCGTATGGAGGATCAAGGGACTGGACTGCGGATGAGTCGCCAAGCGGAGGCCAAGGGCTCCAAGCACATGCATGAAGCTGGGCCGGACCGGGTTGTTTCTGCCATCAAGGATCCTTCCAGGGTTCATCTTGTCGACTGTCTAGCAAGAGACTACTATTACGTGTGTATACTCACTTGTATCCATGCTTCAACTCCATCTTGGTGCAACTGCCTGTCGTACCAACACCGGCGAACGACAGACTTACAAGGTCACTTACAAGCAACACCCCAGCTCATCGCCACGACACGACATGAACCACAGGTAAGCCTTTCAACAACACAACACAGCAAGAACATCATCATCACGAACACAAAAAAAAGAAAACAGAATTCAAGGTCACCCCCTAGTCTCTCTAGTGCCAACCGCGCCGCCATTCTGGGGTTCGCGGGTGGGTGCGGCTAGGTGAAAAGGCACCAATCCAGAATCGCGAGCATGGGGTTTGTGTGCCATTCTTTGCGCCTTGCTTTGGCCTTTTGCAGCTTCGTCGCTGCATGTGTCAAAATGGGCGGAAGGAAAGGCCGGGGGAACGGGAGAAACTTTTCCCTCACAAGTTGGGCTTTTGATTTGAAAGGCTGTCTGATGGATGAGAATCTCTGCCCAACGGCTGGCTGTTGGCTTACACACAGCACATCCATCTCCTTTACTATCACAGTACATATATGTATTGCGGCAGCCGAGGTACCTGGGTGGACAGGAGATGAAAAGAGACTCACTGCAAATAGAGAGACTGGAAAAAAGAGGCTAAGACGCCGATGACAGCTTCTCCAGCTTCCACGGCTAACACCGTAGAATATCGGGACCTCTCCCCCTTTCACACATGCACCCACTCCCACTCCCGTCAGCGATAACCGACTTCCGACGGCCGACACACTCGGAGTGTTCCCAGGCTTGTGAGAGAATGCATTTCATACATTCATCTCATTCTAAACTCCTCCTTTCCAACATAAATTGCACAGTTGCTCTTCCGCTACAAATAAGCAGTACTAGTCACATATGTTCGACGGAAAGGCATCGCCTCCTCACTGTTTGTTCAAACACCCAGGTCCATCCCTGTATCCCTCGTATTATTTCTCCTTTCCTCATTCGTCCTCCTGTCATGTAATTCCCAACCCAAATGCTCCTCCTACACATCTGCGAGCCATCCATCCGTCTGTCTCAGAAACAACACGACACCACCAACAGAATCCAAAAAAAAATCCCCAGGATCATCCCCGTTCCTCCCCGTTCCTCCCCGTCTCACATACCACGGCATTTCCATGAACTGAATCGCGCATATGTTCCTTGTGCTCCCGTTGAACAAACCCGCAATGCCTCCCCAGCCAGCCAGCCAGCCTCCCCCATAATACACATACGTACGTACGTACATGTAGGTATCACACACATACTAGTATGTGGTCAACAATCCCGCATAGAGACACGCACACAGCAAAACGCCCCTGTCCAGTGCCTTGTCTCGTCCTTCTTTGGCTCTCTTGTCTTACATTCATGAATCTTGCGAACCCTTGCGCATCACGCGAGCCTGCGGCCATTAGTTGCTCCATCTCAGCTCGCATCCT